TTTGGGGCATTTGGATTGTTTCCATATCTCAGCTATTGTGAATAGTGCTGCAATAAACATGGGAGTGTGGTTTCCTTTCAAATTAATGCTTTTGTCACCTTTGGGTATTCCTAGGACTGAAATGCTTTTTACTTTTTCACATATTTGTTGGCCACTTGCATTTGGAGGAGAACATTTTAGGTGGAGCATATTGGGGGGTATATTTGTTAGTATCGTGCTGAAGTGGAACAAAAGACCATTGCAAATGAAAAACTAGCAGGTCTTTCAAGAGAAAATGTTCCATTAGTAGAAAATCCACTGTCTGCTTATCTCTGAGATGGACTCCAGTTTGGGAGCAGATGAAAGATCATTTGGGTGGCACATATTTCACATATGGGGCAAAAGAAAAAAAGGCTTCATGAGTAGAGGAACCTATAAAAGGGGGTCATGAACACTCAGAAACTTCTCTGGAAATAAAGGAAAAAAATTTTCCTTTATTTAAAAAAAAGAAACTATACAACTTCATTTTTTTTAAAGATTTATGTATTTATTTATGCATACAGAACTGGCATACAGGCCAGAGGTGCAGGGGGTGAGAGGATTCACCAGAGACAGAGTGGGGAGCAGAACAGGCAGATCAACGAAGTACTCTGCAGAGAGGAGCAGCGGGTGGGTTAGGAGAAGCCTGCTGTGCCATGTGGGTCAGTTCCCTGGCTGGAGATCGAACTTGTGCTGAAGTGGCTTTAGCTTCTTAGTGCTGTGCTTTAACCCACTGTGCCACCAGGGAGGGCCCACAACTTTTTTGTTTTATGTTAAAATATTCATTATGGAAAAAAAAACTTAGAGGTCTAAAAAGTTTAAATTATATTTATTCTTGCCATCTAGAAATAACTATAATTTATATTTTAGTATTTATACTCCAGGGATAAGTACGCACAGTGCATATAAGTGCTATTTTTTAAAAATAAGATTATGGTATACATTACTGAAGGTTCCCACATACATGGCAATATACTGGCATTTGAGAAAATAATTCTTTCATTTTTTTGAAGTAACATTAGTTTATAACATTATATGTTTCCGGTATATGGTCTTGTGAATTCAATAGCTACTATCATCATCACCAAAAAATGTCTAGTTTTCTTCTATTATATGATTGATGATGTTTACCTGATTTACTCATACCCTCTCTCTCTTCCCTGCTTGGAACAGTCCTTTAGTTCTTATTAGTCTAAAAGAAATCATTCTTAACCATAACTGATTCTTGACCAAAAAGGTCTGATCTTCTCCCATGTATGTTAAGAGGGACCGTAAAACAGATTTACCTGAGATGGCATTATTAAAAGGACTAGTGAAACCTGAAAAAGATATATGGTTATTAAATATATAGTTAAATACTATATAATTACAAGATAGAAGGTTAAAGAAGAAAATGTGGTATAAAATTGTCATGATAAAGTAAATGACACAATATACATTCAGAAATTAGCATGCATGGCAAGTCAAACATGTTGAAATAGTAAATGTATGACATATACTTCAAAAATTGCTGGAAGAATATATATGAAAATATTAACAACAGGTATGCTTACCATGGGTTTGTTATATTATGTATTTTCTAAAGTTTCTACAAGGACCATTATTATTTCTTTTCAATATTTTTATTTAAAATTTTATATAGTGAGTAACTGTGTACCATTCAAGAAAAGAGGAGCTAGAGGAAGAGAAAGGAAAGTTCAGAATTCATTACTGATGAAACAATTTGATTTCTCCTTCAGCTTTTCCCACAGAAAGGACCATCCTTCCCAAAAGTAACCCTAGCATTACCAAACTACTTGTGGCCGCTTTGTTGATATTTATGCTATTGGCGATCTCATTTTTGTTTGCTTTTATTGGTAAGTACACAACTGAGTCTATCAAGGATGTCTACCCCATATGAAGAGATGGCACCACTAGAAAAATTTGCCAATATTTTAAGACAAGAATCTGAGAAAGAAGTTTTTTATGTGGGGGGGAGGGGTGGCAGAAAATTAGTGGAACTACTTTGAAAATTCTGTTCTTTGTCTGAACGAGTTACCCTTCTTTAAAAATAATGGAATCCTGTACTATTTATAATAGGGAAGACATGGAATCAATTCAAATGCCCAAAAATAGATGACTGGATTAAAAAGATGAACATATATATACACACAATGGATTATTGCTCAGCAATCGAAATAAACTCATGCCTTTTGCAGCAACATGGATGGAGCTGGAAGGGATCATGCTTAGTGAAATAAGCCAGAAAGAAAAAGAAAAACACTGTATGGTTTCACTCTTAGCAATAGTGTAAGGTATAATGGAGTTGAAAGAGAGAGAGAGAGAGAGAAATAGAGAGAGAGAGAAGCAAATGTAATAAAGTAAAAGCGAAAACAACAACAAATAATGGAATGCAGCTTTTCGAGAAATTTACAAGTATATGTGCCATGGTTTTGTGTTGTATAGAAATCAATAGAGCATCATTTCTACAGTAGACTGCTATTTGTGGTTAAATCTGCATTTCCTTATAGTGTTTATCAGGCCAGGTCTTTTTTTTTTTTTTAAAGTAGGTGAGCCAGGAGAGGTCTGCCTCACCATGTGGGTCACCTCCCTGCCTGGAGCTGCTAAAAACTTCATAGGGCTGAGACTTACCCTTGCACCACCAGGGAGACCCAGGCCAGTTATTTTTGAATGTAAAAGTATTTATTTTGGGATGAGCAAGCAGACAGGGAAGAAGGTAGTGGGGAGAAATATTCCTGGAGGTTTCCCATTGAGTTTTCACTTTAATTATTTCTGTCCTTCTGAAACCTGTATGAGATCTAAAGGTCAATTTGCAAATAGGTAGATTTCTCCCTATCTCTTTCTTTAAGGGTCTATCAGGTTTCCGGGAGGCATGAAAACTTTTTCAGATGTACATTTTGGTAGATATTATATTAGGTTAGATAATTTTATTCATTTGTCATTCAATAAGTAATGGTAGCATCTACTATGCTAGAATTATGCCAGATAGAATCCAGACACAGCCATAGCCCTTGGTATCAAGACATTCAGAGAATGTTAAATGTTAAATGAACTAGTGGTAGTCACCATTGTATGGTAAGTGAAGCACAGGAACTGAGACATACTTCCTGAAGAAGACATTTGTAGCTTTGTGTACCGAGAATGACAAGAGAGATGTGATAAGCTGTGGGGATATTGGAGAAAACAAAGTATAAATAACTGAAACTATGGTACTGTATCAACTATGAGAAAGTGGGAAAAATAATCAGGTCTCAGATCGGAATACAGCTGAGTACAATGGAAAGAGTCTGGATATTTTTTCCTGAATGTCATGGTATTTATATCTTTTGCTGCTTTTCAACAAGACTGAGACTTAGTGGATTAAAGCAATTTTTTACTTAGTTCATGATCCAGTGGTTTGGTCCTGGAAGGGAGGTTTAGATTGGGCTTGTTTGAAATCATGCAAGCATTTGCTTATCAGATATGCAATCGAGTATCACAGCCAACTCAGTTTCTGAGGAAGAGGATCTCAGCTGGAATGACATAGGCAACTGGCCACATATCTTTCAGAGTTTATTAGATTGGCCTGAGCTTGTTCAGATGGCATCTCGTAGTCTTTGAACAACAGACTGGCATTGAACAAAATCTCTTTAAGCCTTAGCTTGAAACGGAGTTGTATTTTTATTTTTCTTATTTTTTCTGGTTCTCTACACCCTGTTGGCTAAAGGAAGTCTTAAAGCCAAAGCCAACCCAGCTTCAAGCGGTGAAGGACTAGAACTTACTGATTGAACCAGAGAAGTCATATAGCAAATGGATGTCAATTGCAATCTGTCACATTGAAGAATTTTAAATATGGAAGTCATATAATAAAATATGACTATTACAACTGTACTTTTTCTTCAGATGGAAAATACATTATGAATTTATTGATTGTTCAGAATATTCAATTTTCTTTTTTTGTGCCATATTAAGATTCTTCCCAGGTTCTTCTTTAATATACACACACATATATATAAAACATTATTATTCATTTTAATACAATATTTGCTTTCTCCTCTCAAGTGTGGTCCCTATAAAATTCCCACCACCAATTCAGTCATGAAACATCATCATAGACTTTTGTGTTCTTCCTGCCCCTGTTTTGATCCTTCTCCCTCCACTTAAAGAACATCTCTGATTTATAGTTGCCTGTTAATTTTGTTTTTTAAAACTTATTATTATTATATGTTTTCCTGATCCCTTATTTTGTTCCCCTATATTTCTCTTATAAGTGAAACCACCAATATTTTTTCTTTTTCTTCTGGCTTATTTCACTGACATGATCCCTTCCAGCTCCATCCGTATTGCCACAAATTGCATGAATTTATATTTTTTTGATCGCTGAGTAGTATTCCATTGTGTATATACATCACATCTCTTGATCCACTCATCTGTTTTGGGGCATTTAGATAGTTTGGCTATTGTTAATGTTAAAGGGAAGAGTGAGGGGCACCCCAGAAACCCCAAGACTGCCCGCTTAAAATAGGTTCTGCCACCCACGACATCAAGACAAAACATGCTCTAGTGTGTAAGACCTTCAATGGAAAGGAAATTTAATACAATTTGTGCACAACAAAGACAAGACAAACAATAACATTTCCAAATCAAGCACCTGATGTTACCCATCCCTTCTTGGGGGGATTGGCCCTAATTGAGGCCTCTGAGGCCTGAAAGCTACCATAATTTTAAATATGGGTCCCCTGGTGGGGATCCATAGGAAAGGGGCAGAAAGGGCCCACCATGTCTGGGACAGAAGGAACAAAATAAAAATCAAGATTAAAGCTGCCACTGGTAATCTCCCATGTGTCTCTCACCCACATCTGTTTCAATCAGTCCAATACTGAGAAGCAAGCACAGTTTCTTCCCATGTCTCACTCTTCCCAGGTGTCTCCTGCACGTCTCCTTGCTCTCCATCTTTCTTCATGTCTTCCTCTATCTCCTTTCCAGCTTCTCTTCTGCTTCCCCACATTCCTGCTCAGCTCTACACTTCCCTGGGTGGAGCAGGGGGTCTGGAGCCCCTCATTCTCAGGGGGACCAGGAAATAACAGGTGCAGTAAACACAGGAGTGCCAGTTTCCTCTCAAATTAGTATTTTTGAATTTTGGGGGTAGATGCCCAGGAGTGGAATTACTGGGTTATTATATAAGAAAATTGTCTTGTCCTCTTCAACTGCTGATCTTCAGTTACTCCAAGAGAAACTTAAGATTTCAAACTCGAACGGATTAGAATATGTTAATGTGTGGTGATGGACTATCTTCAAATAATTGGGCATGTGTAGATTTTATTCCTATAAAGAATTCAAGCAAGCAAATATAAAAAGCAAAGTAATAACGTTACTAGAAAAATGAATTATCTTATTTCTTTTTCAGTTTTCTTTCAAAAATATTCTGATCTCAAAGGAAAAATGTCTATGAAAGAAGTCTCTCACAAAAGCTTGGAATGTACAAAAGAAAATATGACCATGGAAGGTAAAAGTTAATGCACCTGTGATTCATTTGTTGATTAGTCTGTGTAGACATCATAATCAGTATGTATAATAAAATTCATGGGTAGTTGTACCAAGAAGTTGAGTTTCATGGTCATTTTTTTTTAAAGATTTATTTATCTATGCATACAGAACTGGGGTACAGGCCAGAGGTGCAAGGGTGGCGAGAGAATTCACCAGCAACAGAGTGGGGAGCAAACAGGCAGATCAATGAAGTACACTGCTGAAGGGAGCAGTGGGTGTGTCAGGAGAGGTCTGCCTCGCCATGTGGGTCACCTCCTGGGCGGGGGATTGAACTCTCACTGAAGCTTCGCAGTGCTGCGTTCTAATGAACTGCGCCACCAGGTAGGGCTTGGCCCTTCATTTTTTTTTTAAGTATTATTTATTTATGCATACAGAACTGGGGTACAAGACAGAGATTCAGTGGCCATGAGAGGATTCACCAGAGACAGAGTGGGGAACAGAACAGGCAGGCCGACAAAGTACACTGCTGAGGGGTGCAGTGGGTGGGTCAGGAGAGGTCTGCCGCGCCATGTGGGTCACCTCCAGGGTGGGGATGGAACTTGCCCTGAAGTGGCTGTGGCCAGTTGGGAGTGCTGCGTCCTAACCCGTTGGGCCACCAGGGAGGGCTCCACCCTTCATTTTAATGACACTCCCACTTTCAAATTATTTTCCTCTTATTGTACCTATATGCTCTTCTGTCAATACAGAGAAAGCTTGGAGCTGCTGCCCAAAAAATTGGAAGTCATTTGATTCAAACTGTTACTTTATTGCATCAGAAGTCAAAGACTGGAAGGAGAGTGAGAAGAACTGCTCAGCGATGCAGACTCACCTGCTGGTTGTCACCTCCAAGGAGGAGCAGGTACTGTCTAGTTGAGAGGAGTCATGGGTCCACCTGGGTTTCTGCATCTCTCCTGACCAAGGAGCAGGTTTTCATTGTTTAGGGATATTGCTGCTGTGGCGGGAGGCTTTCAATAGACTAGCTGGGAGAGGTTTATCCAGGCCTTTACTTTGCATCCCTCTTCCTGCTTCCCTAATACTAACCTTCCCCCAAATAAACAGGAGCATTTAAAATAGAATATGTGCACAGAATGGTGAAAATATTTCAGCCTGAAATATCAGTTTGCTATTTTAACATTTAAATATTTTATACATTGTTATCTAGCTAGCAGACAAGAGGTATGAAATCAAATAGAGAAATAAAGTTCCTCATTAAGAGTCATAATCAGCAATCAAAATGAAATTAAAAAGCCTGAATTTGGGCCCTCCCTGGTGGTACAGTGGGTTAAAGCACAGCACTAAGAAGCTAAAGCCACTTCTGCATGAGTTTGATCCCTGCTTGCCCCGGAAGTGACCCACATGGCGTGGCAGACCTCTCCTGACTTGCCTGCTGCTCCCCTTAGCATGATCTGCCTGTTCTGCTCCCCACTCTTGTCTCCTGTGAATCCTTTCGCCAACCCTGCACTCTCTGGTCTGTACCCCAGTTCTGTATGCATAAATGAATACATCTTTTAAAAAAAGCCTGAATTTATGAAAGAAAAACTGATCTGCAGCTATTTCTTATGCACACCTTAGAAGAATTAGTGATGAAAATAGAGTGGGTTTCTGATGAGAATTTATTATCAAGGATTGCTTCCATGAGTATTCAGTGCTGCTTTGCTCTGTATGTTGTTCATTGTCTCCAACTGTGAGAGGAACACACACACTCAGAGCTGGGAGAAAAAATTTCTGCCCTGTATAAGCTACCCAGTCTATGAACTGACTAAGACAAAGTTCAAGCTCTCAAGTGGTGTCTGGTCCTGCACTGCACTGTCAGACAAGTCCTGGCCCTGGGTAGATGACCTGGGATCCTCCCTTTTCTTTCTTTCTCCCTAATCCTGAATCTACCCAAATACTTTAAAAGCTGTAATGCCTTTCTCTTTTCTTAGGATTTCATCAGCTCAGCTCTGAATTCAAGACATGCTTACTATGTGGGGCTGTTAGACCCCGAGGGGAAAAATCAGTGGCAATGGGTTGATCACACACCATTCAACAACCGAAGTGCTACGTGAGTATGGGATTGATAAGGGGATCTGAGCCCTGCTCACGCAGGGCCTTAGGGTCTTCCAACTTCTCGCTTTACAAATAAGATGGCTCACACTTAACTTTTTGGCATTATGTTCAATAAATTTATTGATTATGGTTTAATTATTGCAAATAGCTTATGAGGCACACACCATATTTTCCCACTGGGAGTCAAGGAAACAGACTACAGAGTTTAGGTAACTTAGGGAAGACTTCAGCAGTGATAACACTGGTCTCTGACTTCAAGTCTGTGCTGCATGGTTACCTCTAACTATAATACTATGTCTTTTTTGATTTCTCTGTGGAGTTTGTAGGGTTTTCCATGTAAATTAACATATCGTCTGTAAATAAGGACAGTTTTACTGCGTTCCCTATTTGCTATGTCTTTTATGATTAGAAACTATTATTAAGTTTTAATGTTCCTCATAAATAAAATATGGTTAAATACTGATGTTGAAATTAACATTACTTGTCCAAGGTAACAGGGCTGGTAATAGACAAGAGGTTTTTACTGGTTTCATCTATGCAAAGCAGATAATTAAAAGTCTGGACAAACAGCATTGATATGGGATCAAGGTGAAATCTGTTCATCACTTAAGGGAGCACATGGATTGACAGTGTCCAGAGAACAGGACAAGAAGAAGGGAGACTTGGGATCTCTGTAGGGAGAATATTTATTGCAGTGAGATGACCAGTCTGGGTCAGTAGCTCACTTTTTGAGGAAAATGCCAGACCCAAACAGATAAAGGCTGTATGAGGTTGGAAAAGGATGCTTAGGGAGTGTCTAACCTTGGCCTCCACTGTTCAACACTGGCATCCCCCTGAAGTCTCTCTTTGTAAGCACTTTTTAAAAATTAGTTTTTTGTAGGTAATTTATATCATTGTTCATTTTTGTACAATGTTTGCTTTCTTCTCTCAGTGGTAGTCCCTGTGAAAGTCCTACCTCTGCACCATCACCATAATTCCCTATGCTGTTCCCTCCCGTTTTGATCCCTCCCTCTTTGTCTCCACTGCAGAATGCCTCTGAGTTATAGATGCTTGTTAAATTTTTTTATTAATATTTCTTCCCAGAACACTTATTTGTACCCTCTATTATCCCTATAAATGAAACCATCGATTTTTTTTTTCCTTCTGGCTTGTTTTACTGGCTTATTCCAGCTCCATCCATGGCTGCAAATGGCATGCATTTATCTTTTTGATTGCTGAATAGTATTCCACCCCATACCACATCTTCTTGACACATCTTCATTTACTTTGGGGCATTTGGGTTGTTTCCATATCTTACCTCCTGTAAATAGTGCTGCAATGAACATAGGAGTGCAGGTATCCTTTTGAATTAATGTTTTTATGTCCTTTGGGTAGATTCATAGGAGTGAAATTTCTGGATCATATGGAAGCTCCATTTTTTAGTAGCCTGTGGAAACTCCACACAGCTGTTATAGTGGTTGGAACAGTTTGCAACCAACAACAGTGTAGGAGAGTTCCTTTTCTCTACATCCTCCCCAACATTGGTTGTTTCTAGTTTTGTAATTTGTACCATTCTCACTGGTATGAGGTGGTATCTCATTGTGATTTTGATTTGCCTGTAAGCACTTTTTGAAGAAACATTCTCATCTTTTTTTCCCTTTCAGATTCTGGAACCCAGGTGAACCCAATAATTTTAATGATCGTTGTGTTATTCTACTTAGAACAAGAAGCAGAAACAAATGGGGCTGGAATAATGTCAATTGTGGTGAAACTCACATGTCAATTTGCAAGATGACAAAGATCTACTTATAAATGAACATTCTTCATGAACATGTGATTGAATTGGCATCTATCATCACTCTTTTTATTGCTCCATCATTGCTCTTTTTATTTATGTGTGTGTTATAAGGAGTTTTGTGGACTCTTTCACCTGTTCTGATTGTGACTGAATCAGGGTACTCTTTCATTCACTCATACAGTGAACATTTACTGAACATTTTCCATGTGGATAGGCTGCTTTACAGACAAAAGGGGGGAGCATGAGCAGTCTCTCCTAATTTTTGTCTATTTGCTAATTGTTATATAGGATATAGTGCCTCCATCTGGTTTGTTTTCATGTTCTTACTAAATTTTCTGAGATAATTTCTTCCTATCACATATAGAATATAATGGCGAATTTAAGTCTGTTGTTCATGGCCTCAGTGTAATAATTGTGATTGATTGTAATAAGCTGATTTGCATGACTATCCCAGTGTGACCTGTGGAGATGGTTCCCTATTATCTTGATGTCATAATTTTCCTGTTACCCCTAAAGATGAATTTGCTTTTTTTTTTTTTTTTAAAAAAAAATAATGATTATCCATTGTACATAAATTTTTCTACTTTTCAGAGAGCAACTTAACATTTCTGGAACATTCTGTGGGAAATTTATTTACAACGAAATTTTTCCGCCTTATTTCAATAATATTGGGGGTGGAAGCAAAGAAAGGGTAACAAGCAAACATTTTATTAATTTCCTTTGATATCATAATTGAGTATGTACTTGAACTGCAGTGAAATGGAGAATGGTGATCTTAGTAGGTGCTGGAACTCTTCTCTTTCTCCATCTTTTATTTTATCAATGTGAGTCAGAATTTGTTGTAATATTCCCTAGAATACTGGCAAAGATTTGTGTGAAACAGATTCATGAAAGTCTGTGTCAGAGAATGACCTTTAAGTGAAGAATCATTCAGTTATGTTCAAATCAATGGGCAGAGTTGAGAATGTGAGAAAGTGATAAAATTGTTGTTTAAGTCATTAAACTGTTGGGTGTCACATTATTTAGCAATGAGGCACCTTTTAATTTTATACCACACAGAACAAAGAGTATGCTAAATAATGAAGTACAATCAAGTAAGGAAACATTGCCAACTACATCATGTACCTAAAAGGGCTGTTAACAATTTAAAAATGAGACTAGATTACTCTATTACTGTAAAAGTAAAATATTAGTGTCTTCATTTTTTAGATTATTTAATTCCTATTAGTATATAGTATACTAATACTATATTATATATATTATATATAGTATACTATATACTATATTAGTATACTAATATATACTATATACTAATATATAGTATACTAATATATATTATATACTATAATATATAGTATATAGTATACTAATATAGTATTACAGCATAGATACAGGGTCACTAAATAAGTAAACATTCATCACTGTGTGCTAATTTTTTTCCTGTTCATTGAAGGTGCAATAAATGTTGTTTTGTGAAAATTCTAGAAGATGGATCTTAACATTTTGGATTAAAATTTAAGTAAATATTCTTTTAGGTAAAGAACAAGGCTCTGTAGAGAATTAGTGGAATAAGTGTGTTTATTATGTTTATTAGATAGATTAGTGTAATGTAAAATATATCCTAGAATTTTTGGATCTAAATTCACATTTACTGTTGCTATTAAAAACAAATAAACGTCAAAACAAATACATGTACAAACATTTCAAGTTTTTGTGGTCTTTGTGTCACTTGTTAAATTGAAGTGGCAAAAATTCTGGTTTCTCCAGTGCTGAGGATTTGCACTGAATCTGAGAAATCACCTGAAGGTTTTCTGAAGGGAATCAGCTAACCCTGACCAGCCCTCTAGCCCAATGTAATATTCATTTTGTACAGATGATATTAATGTTGAAACATTCATTCATAATTCTTTTTTTGTCAATGTGGAAATAATTGTATTGCACACTTAAAGATGAATTCAATGACTGGAGAACAGAAGAGATAATGGCAATTTAACTATATTAAATAAAGTTTTCATTATAGAAAGTTCTCATTAAATTAATCTTATCATGTCCAGACAAAGAAATGCTCAGCAGAAGTTAAAATTGTTGCAAATGGAACTTTCTAATAAAGAACCAATGTTTAGGACTGTGGTGCATAAGGCTGGCCTATTTATCCCTTACACTTTACAAACAAAACCTGTTGTAGTCATTTGAGAACCTCGTCTTCACCTCTGTAGGTGAACACCAATTAAGTCAAGATAATACAAACAATTCCCCTAGTGGTTGTTTCAGGAATAGAAACAAATTATAAGTCATGTCAATGAATTGCCCCTTCCATGTTCTCAGAGCTTGAAGGAACACAATTTCTTTCTCCCAGTGAGTATGAGCAAAGTAATATGTAGCCTTTTTTATGCCTTTACTCTTCATGTTTCCTAATTTCATCAATTTTTCATTTTCTTCTCTCCAATTATGTTTACTGAGGTAAAGTTGGTTTACATCATTGTATTTGTTTAAAGGTTTATAGTTTCAGACCTCTACAAATATATATTTTCATACCACTCACCACCAGAACCCACCACCACCACCAGAACCCCAATAATCCTCTACTAGGGTCTACTGGGCCCCTTTCCTCTCTGTCCCCATCCTTCTACCCTCCTTCCAGGCTGCCTGAGTTTTGCAGTCAGGTGTCAAAGATTTGCTGACAATCTGTTGGTTTGGTTTTTCTGTATCTCAAGCTTTTCTTTATATTCCACATATAAGTGAAACTTTCAAGCATTTGTCTTTCTCATTCTGACTTATTTCACTTAGCACTATCCTCTCCAGTTCCATCTGTGTTAGTGCAAATGGAAAGAATATATTTATATTTTTAATAAGACTATTCCATTGTATATATAAACCACATTTTTTTAAAATTTCCTCTTCTGTTCTTGGGCACTTAAGTTGGTTGCATAACTGGTAAATAGGGCTGTAATGAACATAAGAATGTATATACCCCTTTGAAATAGTATTCTTCCCTTCTCTTTTCTTTAAGCTTTTAAATTTTCTTACACCATTGTTCATTTTGGTACAGTATTTGATTTCTCCCCTTAATGCTGTCCTCATAACCTTCCCACCACCATCTCACCTGTGAAGCATCGTCATAGTCGCAAAACCTCCTATGTTTTGGTTTCTCTTTCTCCCCGTTCCCCAACTGTCACCCATTTATAGTTTTCCTGCTATCTTTGACTTTTCCCCCCGATCCCTTGTTTGTTTTCCGTATGTTCCTCCTATAAGTGAACCCATCTGATATTTCTCTCTTTGCTTCTGACTTATTTCACTGAGACTAGTCCCTCCAGCTCCACCCGTGTTATTACGAATGGCTTGCATTTATCTTTTTTGTTTGCTGAATAGTATTCCATTGCGGATATACACCACACCTTCTTGGTTTCTTTTTTTTTTTTTTAGTAGCACCAAAAATATATATATTCTATATATATTGCATCATTGTTCTTTTTTTAAAAAAAGATTATTTATGCATACAAGAACTGGGATACAGGCCAAAGGTGCAGGGGGTGAAAGGATTCACCAGAGACAGAGTGGGGGACAGAGCAGGCAGATTAACTGAAAGACACTGCTAAGGGGAGCAGTGGATGGGACAGAAGAGGTCTGTTGCACTACGTGGGTCACCTCCTTGGTCTGGGATGGAATTAGTGCTGCAGTGGCTGCAGATAGTGTTTTAACCTGTTGTGCCACCAGGGAGGTCCCCCATTGTTCATTTTTGTATGATGTTTGCTTGCTCCTTTCAGGTATAGTCCCCACAGAATTCACACCACCATTTCACCCATGAACCATCACCATAGTCCCTTATGCTTTTCTCTTCCCTTTTTGATCCCTCTTCCCCTCCCTCCTCAGCAGAATGTCTTGATTTATAGTTGCCTGTTAATTTTTTAAAATTTTACTATTTTTCCCCCGATCCCTCACTTGGTTCCCCTATATTCCTCCTATAAATGAAACCATCAGACATTTTTCTTTATCCTTCTGACTTATTTCATGGAGTATAATCCCTTCTGGCTCCATCCATGTTGCTGCAAATGTCATGAGTTTATCTTTTTGATTGCTGAATACTATTCCATTGTATATATATATATATATACTACATTCTTCTACTGGCTTTTACTTTCCCAGAGTTCGTTAGCTCCTTCACTGATCTTTTAATATCCATCAGTGCCTTTCTTTTCTTATTTAAATATTAATCCCTATTCTTCAGTTAATTGATTTTATTTCTCATATCTTTCCTTTTCTTCATCTTTTTTAAACTAGACTGATCCAGAAATCTTTATCTGTCAGGCAGTGAAATTCTTCCAGCTCAGTGTTGTTGGATTTTGGAGTCTGGTTTTATTTTTTGGAGTGTTGTTCCCTGGAGGATTTGCTTGAGCATTTGTTTTTACTTTCTCCCCACTGTTTGCTTTCGTATTTGTTCTATGTGACTGGTGCCCGTGGACATGACTTCGAGTTGTCCAATTGCAGTGTCAAGGACTGAGGTCGGGTGGTTCCTATGCTGTTGACCTGGGCTTGGTGAGGACTCAGATGCTGTGGGTGGACCAATGTGTACTTGCTCTGGTAGTCACCAGGTGTCTATGTCTCTTTCCTATGCGTGTATCCCCACTCCAGGCAGGTTCAGTCATGTTGGGTCTGGCAAGGACTTGGATTTGGCTTTGCCTTCTTTGGGTTGATACCTGGATGTGAAATTGCTGGGTTATATGGGTAAATCTATTATTAATATTTTGAGAGACCTCCATACTCTTTTCCATAGGGGCTGGAATAGTTTACATTCCAACAGATGGTGTGTGAGAGTTCTTTTTTCCCCCACGTCTTTGCCAACACTTGTTATTTCTGGTCTTTTTGATATGGGCCTTTGCTATGGTAGGCCTTTCCTATGGGCCTTTCCTAAGGTAGCCTCTCAATATGGTGTTGATTTGCTTTTCCCTGATAAGTGATGATGAACTTTTAAAAAAAGTGTTCCTATTGGCCATCTGTATTTCTTTGAAGAAATGTTTATTTAACCCTTCTGCCTTCCCCCCTTTTATTTTTGATTGGGGTGTTTTCTTTTTGTTGAATTACATGACTTCTTTATATAATTTGGATATTGACCCTTTGTCAGATGCATAATGTGTAAATATGGAAGTATGTAGCCTTACTTATAACTGATAATCATTCTGTGATCATGAGTGGAACTGGCCTTTGGAGAACAAGAACACCATGGATAGCTCCGTACAGCCTTGGAAAGAACCCAGGCCACTTAAATATTAATTAATTAATTAATTAATTTGTTTAGAAGAACTGGGGTGTAGTCCAGAGGTGTCTGTGTGTGGGGGTGGGGGCAGGTAGAGCATTCACCAGAGACAGAGTGGGAAGCAAAACAGGCAAGGTTGACTGAAATATATTGTTAAGGGAGGCAGTGAGTAAGAAAGGTCTGCTGTGCCATGTGAGTTAGCTCTCTGGCCAGGGATTGAACTCACGATGCAGTGACGGGCAATAGCTTGATAGCACTGAGACTTTAACCCCTGCTGGTGTACATATGCCACATTTTCTTGATTCACTTTTATATTTTGGGGCACTTAGTTTGTTTTCATAAATATAGTACACAGTGCTGCAGTAAATGTGGGAGTGTAAGTTTCCATTCAAGACCCTAGTCATAAGGGTGTTGTGGAGCCACTGAACCAACTATTCCTGAAGTATTTTCTACTTTGAATTCTTAGTAATGAAAGTTAATAACTTTTCCAGTCAATTAGGCTGATTTTAGAGTGATTGATTAAAAAAATATTTTTAGTGAGCAAAACTTACTGAGGTTTAGTTTATAAATAGCTACAATTTTCAGAAAATAATTAATGAACGTTTTTATTTTAAATTTTTGATAGATTTACACTGTATTTCTTTAATTACTGAAGTTGTATGTTGTTCATCTGTTTGTTAGCCATTATCTCTCTTTAAAATTACCTGTTCTTATAATTTTTTGAAAAAAGATTTATTTATTTATTTATGCATACAGAACTGGGGTGCAGCCCAGAAGTGCAGGGGTGCTGAGAAGCTTCACCAGAGACAGAGTGGGGAGCAGGATAGGCAGATCAATGAAGTACACTGCTGAGGGGAGCAGCAGGTGGGTCAGGAGAGGTCTTCCTCGCCATGTGGTCACCTCCGGGGCAGGCGGGGATTGATCACATCAGAATCGGCTTAAGCTTCTTAGTGCTGTGCTTTAACCTGCTGCGCCACCAGGAAAGGTCCGTGATTCAATTCTTGGGTTCATGTTTCTTCATATTTGAGGGGAACTAGAGACAGATGGTGATGCTTTATAACCACTTCTCCTCCCCTTGTGATTTATTGCCACTTATATGAGTCCAGAGAACATACTGTCTCACTTCTGTCCTAATGTCTATTTCATCATTTGTAGAACTATAATATCATTGAAAATAATTTGTTGAGTTCAATATTTATATATTCATGGTATTTTTTTTTAAGTATTCAGTTCTGCACAGTTGACAATATAGAGATGTTTGTGATGTTAATAAAGAGAAGTCTACATTCTAGAGTTGATGTTAGACCCCAAGGCCTAGAAGGCAAAGGATTCATGAAGTTTCTCTTACCTAATCAAGGAGATTATAAAATGTACTCTGCCCAACAGTGGTCTTGATGCAATAAGAATATTTAATCACTTTTGCATCTAGATTCCAGAATCTCCTCTTTTGCAATCATATTCCTGAACAATATCACAGTTGTCTATATAATGCGCTATATGGATTTATTATCTAAGTTATATCTATTCAATCAGAATTGGGGCCATTCCCTATGATACTGTTTAACACATGGATTAAATCTTCCATGGAATCCGAGGTAAAAGTTGGTTAAAGACAGGCGAGAAAATAACAAAAATAATGAACAACCATATACCAGAGACATTTTGTGGGGGTGGAGTGGGGAATGGGATCAAAAACGGGGGGGGGAGGGAGGGAAATGCACGGGACTATGGTGGTGACACAGGGGTGATTTGGTGATGGGAAACCCGCGGGGATTACAATCGAGATGGAAAAAAAATATGCAAAATGATGTAAAAATAAGCTTTTAAAAAAAGGAAATTAATAATTGTCTTAGAGATACTAAGTTGTTTGTAGCTTCTGTAATAAATGGTGTCTGCTCTTGGAAAAAAAAAAAAAGTTGGTTAAAGAGGGGGCCCTCTCTGGTGATGCAGTGGGTTAAAACACAGCACTAAGAAGCTAAAGCCACTTCCACATGAGTTCGATTCCCACCTGCCCTGGAGGTGATTCACATGGTGCAGCAGACTTCTCCTGACCCACCTGTTGCTCCCCTCAGCAGTGTACTTCGTCAATCTGCCTGTTCTGCTCCCCCCTGGTGAATCCTCTCACCGCCCTGCACCTCTGGCCTGTACCCCAGTTCTGTATGTATAAATAAATAAATCTTTAAAAAAACAAAAAGTTGGTTAGAGAACATTTAATGTAATTAAGACCTACGAATAAATTATTTTAGGGCATATAATGCTTTCTAATTTGCTAGCTAAGATGACTAAGAATCAGAGAAATCTTGTGCCAGGAAATGAACAAAGGTTCTGAATATTTTTGTTGAAATTCTCATGAGTAATTTTGGATATGTTTCTCAATTTCCTCTTTATCCTTTTATTTTTTGAATGACTGAACTTTAGTTCAAACCACGACTTCTTCTTTCAAGCTATTCTTTATATTGCAAGCTTCTTAGTCTCATCAGTGTTTGGCAGTTTGTCTCTGAGCTCTGATCTCACTGAATGAGGCCAGATCCTTGAGTAACGTCTTCAGGAAGAGAGGCACAAGGGGTTCCTGTACCTTCTGAACACAAAGAGCCCCACATAATGGTGCAAGAAGGAGAACTTCGGGGTAGAGTGAGCATTCCTTTTTCTTTTTTTCTTTTTTACAAATAAAAATCAGTGCTGTTTATTCAAAGCATATTTACATTTAGGTTGTTATTTTGATTTTTATTGGAAAATGATGTACCAGTTATTGAAAAATTAGACCACGAGGAACATCATAGAGCTTTATTTGGGTTTGAGTACAAGTTGATATGGATTGGTTTGAAGACTAAAATAACCCAGTTGGCTTGGGAGTATTTTGGGACTAAACTAACTTGATGTTTAGTAGATTACTGATCAATAATATATGTTCCAGTTTTCCAAGGACACTTTTCCCTCTCTATAACCCAAGTAACTTAAACTTGGGAAAGATAATTCAGATTTCAAAATGAAGAGAAATCATATCACATTGTACCTTGCAAAATGCCTTATAATTTTGCTGTTTTCTCTCATGACATTTTATGTTCAGATAACTCATTTGAAAATATTAAGGTCCTTATGAAAAAAATATTTAACAAAATATTTGCTACAATTTCCCATTTGGGCAAATACCTGGGCGCCATCTTGTATAACATCACAGGATGACTTTGGTAGGTGGTATCCATGGAATTGTGTAGTACCCAAATTGTCAGCCCTCTGAGGCTGATGAACTTTGATAATTACTAAAGGGGCAATGAAAGGATAACTTTTGTCCATAAAATGCCTAAGATACTTGTTCTTCTAGGCCCTTCCTGGTGGCGCAGCAGGTTAAAGCACAGCACTAAGAAGCTACAGCCACTTCAGCGTGAGTTCCATCCCGCCCCGAGGTGATCCACAGAGGGTGCAGACCTTTCCTAACTCGCGAGCTGCTCCCTTCAGCATTGTACTTCCTCAGTTTGTTCTGCTCCCTACTCTGTCTCTGGTGAATCCGCTCACCACCCCTCACCTCTGGCCTGTACCCCGGTTCTAGCATTCCTTTTCTTACTTCCTGAAAAGTAAGAAAATCTGCTAAGAGTCATCTAGCAAGAAGAGGTAGACTGAAGGGATGGAAATAGACCTCATGGCAGAGTGTTAGGAAGTTGAAAGAAATAATAATTCTTTCCAGCCAGAAGTACTTTTAAAAAAAATCTGGCCCTCCCTGGTGGCGCAGCGGGTTGAAGCACAACACTGAGAGGCTGGGGCCACTTCCGCATGAGTTCGATTCCTGCCTGCCCCGGGGGTGACCACATGGCTGGCAGACCTCTCCTGACCCGCCCGCTGCTCCCCTTAGCAGTGTACTTCGATCTGCCTGTTCTGTACCCCACTCTGTCTCTGGTGAATCCTCTCACTGCCCCTGAGTCTCTGGCCTGTACCCCAGTTCTGTATGTACAAATAAATAAAAAAAATAAAAAAAAATACCAAAGTCAAATATCAATGCAGTGCTATGAGTAGTGAGAGACTAAAGAGGTGCTTTGCAAAGACCATATGAATGTAACATTTAAGAAGGAGAAAAGTGGCCGTTGCTAAAATCCAAGTAGTTTTGGATTTTAAAGCTACTACCTGTTCTTTTATTCTTTTTTTTTTTTTTTTTAAGATTTATTTACTTATACTTACAGAACTGAGGTACAGGTCAGAGGTGCAGGAGAGTTGAGAGAATTTACCAGAGACAGAGTAGGGAACAGAATAGGCCGACTGATGAAGTACACTGCTGAGGGGAGCAGCCAGTGGGTCAGGAGAGGTCTGCCGCGCCATGTGGATCACCTTGGGGCGGGGATCAAACTTTCATTGAGGTGGCTGCTTCTAGCTTGCAGTTCTACACCCTAACCCGTTGCACCACTATGGAGGGCCCTATAAACTTATTCTACGGTAGTTTCTAAGTTTTTTTGTTGCTTTATGTTGAATTATTCTGAGGGTCTTTATCTGCTCCAAGCTGAAGGAGTTCCGGCTTCCCGGCATCTGAGTAACTGCATTTATCTTCCTGGTGTGACGAAGAAAGCTGTGTGGTGCTCTCAGGTGAGGCTGTGGGCTGTTGCTGTGACTTGCATAGTGCTCCTCAGTGCTTGTTTCATCATGAACTGCATGGGTAAGTGCCTCATGGAGAAGTCACTTCTCGTGTTCCTTATGCTTGTCATGTTCTACAATATTCCCAACGTTATGTTCTCCTTCCCCCATTCACATGTGAGCTCTTGCTTGCAATGGCATGTCTCCTTGATTTGCCCTCCCATTTTTCTTCTTCCTCTGTCTTTCGATAATTGTCTTTGCCGCCAAATTTACTTCACCTGTTTACTTTTGTTTGCATTTACTTTTGTTTGCATTTCCCTTGAATGTGTGTGACTTGTGGCCATCCTCTAAGACAACGTCTTTTGCTCTGTGGACAGGAGTGCTGCTCCCTGTTCTTCAGTCACCAAGGCCTCTACTGAGAGTGCAGCCATACGTGCTTTTGGAATCGCAATCCTTTAGAGTGAGGTCTTTGCTGTTCCTATGGAAGTGTTTTCCAATATAAAATGAAAAGTATTCAAATAAAATATTGCAGATCTTTAGGAACGGAATATTCCTTCAATGTTCAACTTGCCTCCAGATAAATATTTCAAATTCATTTTGTGAGAAGGGTCATAGATATTTTTGCTCATAATCTACAATTTGATTCCCTATTCATTAATAATGATATTCAAATGTTTTTGGATAACCTGGGAGAGGAGTGAACATGACTTCCATGTTTGAAGTTCTCTCTGAGATGTAAGTAAATCTCATAATCTTAATAAAACACAGTAACTATTACTGAAATTAGACTTTGCTTTACTTTTCATGGTCAAATGTAAGAGAGAAGGGGGTTTAAGAATAGTTATTTCATTAATAAAGGAGCAGCAGATACTCAGGGTGTAAGACAGAGACTAAAAGACAGTTGGAAAGGTTTGAAAATATTGACCTTTAGTAGTCGAAGGACAAGAAACAAATGAGTGAAAATCAAGTCAGGACCTGACTTGAGTGAAAAATCAAGTCACATAAAAGATCATACGCATGTGAAACACTCGTGTTGCTAAATGTTCAAATGTTCAAAGACTCCCCTTGGTTGTTATTTACTCTACATGTTTATCTGTAGCTACTAGCAATCAGAAAACTTAAAAAAATACATTGAAATAAACTACATGCTTCAGAAAGGAGACAGAGGCATCCAGTGAGTCAACACATATTTATTGGTAACTTTGGGAACATCACTGTTCTAAGTTTATGATTAATTGATATGGAAAGCAGAACCTATATCCTAGGAAACAGAGCTTAAAATTCAATGGAGAATGAGCAAGGAAAGGGTAGGCTTATTAAAATAATGAGGAGTTAACAACATAAAGCATTAATTCTGCACATTGGGCTGTTGTAGCGAATCCTGGCACTTAGGGATAAACCAGCTTGGCACAAATTTATGATTCATAAAGCTTATTGTAATTGAATGAAAGACTTTAATCCTTCTTATTCCTCCACAGCGACTTACCACTTCACATATGGCAAAATCAACAAAATGTTGTCTCTACTACACACATATTCAAGTCTAACTTGCTTCAGTGAAGGCACAAGCACAACACATAAGGTACTGCTCTATTTAACCAGACTCTCTTCTTTCAGTGAGAGGTCAAGTTGAGCTCAAGGTTGGATTATTCTCTTTTTAAAAATATCTTTCAAATGCCCCTAAACATATAAGTTTGAATCAGGCTATAGATTTGCCCTCAAAGCCATTTTCCCTCCAGTCTCTTGATCTCAATAAATGTTACCAAAATGTATCATGTACTTTACTCCAGCCAATTCTGGAATTATTATAAAAAATTATTTGTAATGGTCTGCTGGAAATTTTATTAGGTCAAGATTAATATATAGGATCATTTGCAAGGAGTTGTCATTTCTCAGACAATAGTCATTAACTTTCTCAATTTCTGGGAAGTGCATCTAAAAGACTTTAATAAGTTTTATTATATGACTACTAATTATAACAGCTTTTAAATACTATCAGAGCACTTTGATTAACCTATTATTAGACAAATTAGGGACATAATACTTTATTGAAGTAAGCGTGCCTTTTTGACAAATGCTTCTATTTATCACAGCTTTAAATTTTTGTCAACTTTGGCTCTGAAGATTTAGCATATTTAACATATGGAAAATGTTTGACAAAACTAACCTCCCCTATCTAAACAGTCAGCCAGTTTAAACTTTTTGAATTAAAATAATGTGTTAATATGCTAATAATAAAATAAATTGTTAAATTAAAGTAATATTATCTTAATAAGATAATCTGTTAAATGTTTCAGAAGCATTATGAAAAAATAATCTTTAATAATGAACAGAATGCACAATTAATAAAGATTTCTAAAAGTGGTCAATGTTGAATGATATACATATGGTCAATTTTAACTCAAATATTATAAAAGGAAGAATAAGTGTGTAGATTGTTTCTCACAATTCTGTGCATAAGAAAGTGTCAAGATAAAAAAATGAATAAAATAAAGTTACATGTAACAACATGAATGAAGCTTAGTAGTGTGAATGAAAAAGACAAAGATGTATATAAATCCTTTAAAAAATTTAAAACCCAACAAATATAGTCAACTTATTACTTAGGTATACATGTAAATATATATTATATGTACACATGTGCATATATGTCCTAACATATACATATATTTGCTACATTTAGATAGAGGTAGTTAAAATATGTCAGTGGATTTATATATGGTTAGGCATAAGAGAGTGGCAATTTGGTGCTTCTAAGGGGAAAAGAAAGAAAACTGCTATGATTAAACTCTTAAATGCTTGATACTTTCTGAAAGTCATCATTATGTAATGTTTATAATCAATTATTCCAATCAGAAGGAGGGAGGAGTGTGAGGGACTGTGGTGATAATGTGCAGGCGAATTGGGGGAGGGGGAAGTAAACATTGTTTAAAAATGAACAACAATGTAGATAGATATATAAATTAATAAATTTAATTAAAAAATTGCTTTATTTTACTTTGTCGTAAAGTCTTTAAATTGTGACTGCTATTATTTCCACTTTAAAGATGAAATAATTGATTTTCCCAAGGACATATATATAATAAATAGTGGAGCTAGAATTGTAAATGAGGCATAATTCTATTCTCCTATATAAACATTATCAACTCCATTTAAAAAATTCTGAGGCTCTGTGGTTTGCCCAGATCTGATGCCAAATTCACTTGTGTTTGTCACTTTTAACTTTGAGAGAAATTGGTGCTTTAACAGATAAGTCTTATGAAGAACAGACCAATAAAACAAAACTGTGTATAGTGACTTTGGATAAAATATCTAGAACAACTCTCCAGGTAAGCTTTAGTAAACATTAAGGATTGCATGTTAAGGAATGTTTATTTAAAATTAATTCTATGGGACAAAATCATATCATTCAGGGTAAATTAAGCATGCCTCTGGAAAATAGCCATAGAGCCTCGGAATGTTATGTTTCTAGAACATACCTCTTTAAAACAATTTGTCTCACCTGGCACTGACCCTTTTCTTTCATGCAACACAGAAAAAATCTGGGGGTGCTGTCCAGGGACCTGGAAATCATTTGGTTCCAGCTGCTATCTCATTTCTACTGAACAGAATTTTTGGATGAAGAGTGAACAGAACTGTGTTGGGGTAGGGGCTCATTTGGTGCTGATTGGCACAGAAGCTGAGCAGGTACTCCCTTTGTTTTTTGTTTTTGTTTGTTTGTTTTTAAGATTTATTTATTTGTGCATACAGAACTGGGGTACAGGCTAGAGGTGTGGGGGCGGTAAGAGGATTCACCAGAGATAGAGTGGAGAGCAGAACAGGCAGATCAACGAAGTACACTGCTGAGGGGAGCAGCGGGCGGGTCAGGAGAGGTCTGCTGTGCCATGTGGGTCACCTTCAGGGCCGGGTTTTGAACTTGCACTGAAGTGGCTACAGTTAGCTTGCAGTGCTGCATCCTAACCCATTGTGCCACCAGGGAGGGCCCAGGATGTTCTTCATTTTTAAGACTGAGTAATATTCCATTCTTGTGTTGGTGGGCATTTGGGAAGCTTCTAACACTTGGCTATTGTGAGCCCATTTTCAAGTACTTCAGATATAGTCCCAGAGTGCAATTGCTTGGCCAAATAGTAATTCTAATCTTAATGTTTTGAGACGCTACCATACTCTTAACACAGTGGCTGCACTGTTTTACAGTCTAGGCAGTACACAGTGCTCGGGTTCAGGGCACCAAGCCCAGAGGGCATTTCAGTCTGGAAATTTCTGGCTATGAATCTTTCTTTATATTCGTGCAGAATTTCGTTGTCCAACATCTGAATGAAAGCTTTTCTTAATTTCCAGACTCTCAGATCCACAAGGGAATAACAACTGGCAATGGATTGATCAGATGTCTTTTACAGAAAATGTCAGGTGAGTGTAGACTCAAATTCACAAGCCAACGGGCCTTGTGTACTTAAGAAATTTAGGGCAATTTCATTAGTAGGAACTATCACTAATAACAGATACTAATTATTAAACTCTTACTAAGCATATGCATTATCTCAAACATCATGAAAAGTTCTTTTTCATAACTCATTTTCTTAGTGAAAAATTGGGTAACTTGACCAAGGTCAATAAATGAGTGAGATGAGAAATTGCTGCTCTAAACAAATATAGACACTTCAGTAAATTTTTCACCAATTAATTTAAAATATCTGAGTCAAAACTATGTTCAGTTCTGGTAGGAAAATTATGTAACAATACCATACAATTGTGGTTTAAAATGCCAGGATTTTAATTTTACATTATCTCATTTGATTTGCACACAATATTGAGAATCATTTGGGGGAACTTATTATGATTTTTATCTTTATACATACATAATACCTGGGGGATTGAATTACTTCCTTAAGATCAAAATAGTCACTTACAAAATTCAATCTCTTAATTGCAAAAATAAAGTCCTGCTTCCTACCCTCATCGCAAATTTGTATTTTCTCTTTTCCAGAATCAATCTCCCTATGTTTAAGGTAACTCCATGAGAATAGGGATACTTAGAAAGGTGGTAAAAGTTTACAACCACTAAGAAGGGAATTGTTTAATTACTGAAGTCAGGATCAGTGTTCTGCATAGAGGAGGAAGTATAAAGATCCAAGTCTAAAGGAAAGGGCCAAGGACACTCTTATTTCCTAACAATTTTACCAGGAAAATGTTAGCGTAGCAAATATAAAAGCCTGTGTCTGCTCCTGAGGTTGCTGAGGAGGGTGGTGTGAGACAAGGGAGACAATCATTAGGATGTTTTTTCACCTGAAACCCGAGTCTGTTCAGCTGAAATGCTATATAATTTTTTTTTATTTGTACATACAGAACTGGGGTACAGGCCAGAAGCTCAGGGGCGGTGAGAGGCTTCACCAGAGACAGAGTGGGGAGCAGAACAGGCAGATCGACGAAGTACACTGCTGAGGGGAGCAGCGGGCGGGTCAGGAGAGGTCTGCCGCTCCATGTGGTCTCCCCGGGGGCAGGCGGGAATCGAATTCATGCCTAAGTGGCTTTAGCTTCTCAGTGCTGTGCTTTAACCCGCTACGCCACCAGGGAGTGCCCAATAAGTAAGCTGAAATGCTATATTCTTTTTTTTTTTTTATTCATACAGAACTGGGGTACAGGCCAGAGATGCGGAGGGTGAGAGGCTTCACCAGAGACAGAGTGGGGAGCAGAACAGGCAGATCGACGAAGTACACTGCTGAGGGGAGCAGCGGGCGGGTCAGGAGAGGTCTGCCACGCCACGTGGTCACCTCCGGGGCAGGTGGGAATCGAACTCATGCAGAAGTGGCTTTAGCTTCTTAGTGCTGTGCTTTAACCCGCTGCGCCACCAGGGAGGGCCGCTATATTCTTTTTAATCAATCACTACACACTCGCTGATGACATATTTTCACCCTTTGTTTCTCTTTAGATTTTGGCACCAAAATGAACCCAATTTTTCTGCAGAGCAATGTGATATAATAGTTTTCTGGACTCATAAAGGATGGGGTTGGAATGATGCTTTCTGTGATACTAAGAGGCATTCAATATGTGAGATACAGAAGATTTACTCATGAATGGAACTTTATTAGCACCTTTAAAATAGAGACCTAGCATAAAATGATAATTGCCTTTCATAATTATGTATAATCTTTGTCACAGAGGTTCAATAAGATCTATAGATGCCTTTCTCTCATCAACTGTCTCTTTCCCAGTTTCCTTTTTTCCCACTAGTGATAGAATGACCTCTTCCTACCTTTGTTTTTTCTTTCTTCATTCATTTCTTCCCTTTCTTCATCCTTACTTTCACAAACATTCCTTGTGCCACAGATTGGTTCTGTTTTGACTATTAGACTTTTTAAGAAGATAACATTTAAAAATTGTGACCTTCCTTTCTTAAAATGCCATAGAAAACACCTTGGTTACTATGGTAATGGAATGGCATCATCTGAAGACCCAATCCAATAATTTGATCTCTTTTCTAGATGGCTCATACATGTGGTTAGTAACTTGGTATTGATTGGTAGGAGGCCTTAGTTCCTCACCACATAATTCTACTTGAGTGTCCTCATAGAATGGTGGCTGACTTCTGCCAGAGCAAGTAATCCTAAAAAGCAAATAAAAGCAATATGTATTCTATAGTCTAGTCTCAGAAATCAAAGAGCATAATTTCTGGTGCATTCTACTGGCCACATAGACTAACCTGGCCATAATAAAGAAAGGGACTACTCAAAGGCATACATGGGTGAGATAGGTAGTCAGGAGACTACAAAATATGCTCATATTATTTAGGTGCATATGGGGCAAAAGTGAAAACAAATCAAGGATTTGGGAAATACAAAAATCAATACAACAGGCACACTTGAATGGAAAGTAGGGGGTAGGACTTTTTGATGATGTAATAAAGAAGCTTATAATACAATGAATAACCTCCAGTGGAGAACTACACATATGGTAGCAAGTCTCTTCATACTCTTTTCTGAGAGTTATAGTCTTATACCACTTTCCCAGTCTTTCTTGATATCAATTTTCCAAACTTGTTTTTCAAGTCTCTGACCATCTAGTCACAGCATAAGATATTGACTGAGAATTTATGTAGATCCCTATTTTAAGCCTTGTTACCCAAATCTTAGCCGTTCCTTAAAAATGTGATTGATAGCAAAAGTTGCAGGTAACTAGAACCCATCATCCCTAATTTTAAATGACAATAGTAATTTTTTTTTAAAGATTTATTTATTTGTGCATACAGAACTGGGGTACAGGCCAGAGATGCAGAGGGTGAGAGGATTCACCAGGGACAGAGTGGGGAGCAGAACAGGCAGATCTACGAAGTACACTGCTGAGGGGAGCAGCGGGCGGGTCAGGAGAGGTCTGCCACACTATGCGGTCACCTCCGGGCAGGGGGCAATCTAACTCATGCGGAAGTGGTTTCAGCTTCTTAGTGCAGTGCTTTAACCCACTGCGCCACCAGGGAGGGCCAGTAATTCCTTTTTATTCCATATGGAAATTTTCTAAGTCACTGCTAAAACATTCACTTATATCATGTAAAAGAACACTTCTGTTTTCTTTCTATTCATAGCACTACTGTCCATACTTCTGACTCTGAATACTTTTTTTTCTGACCAGCCAAATGTGTTCCTAATGCAGAGATTTCTTGCACACCAATCAATTCTGAATCATCTGCTAGATGTCCTATAACTCAAGTTAGTTATGATACTATCTGCCTAGAGTTAACATTAGATCCCTCATGTGGAATATTTAAGCCCATATTTCCCTACAACCCCCTTCAGATGTTAATTGAAAGTCCAATGTTTCTGACATACTGGCTGGATTGGATGTTCCCATTATCCTCTCCTTGGGTTGGACTAATGTGCTAGAGCAGCTCATACAACTCAGGAAAATAGATGATTGATGAGATTTCTGGTTTGGATGTTAGATGAATGAACAGCCACATGAAGGGATACATAAGGTGAGTTCAGAAGGGTCTTGCACACAGAAGCTTCCATCCTCATGAAATTTGGAATGTACCATTGTCCTAGCCCAGGGATGTTGTGGCACAAAAGGAAATCATCTTGTACCTTCTGGATTCTTCTGGCAAATAATCAAATAAGCATCAGAGAGACTGATAAGATAAAAAGCCATTAATAACAATCACAGCTCTTGTGTACATGGAAAAATCACAGAGGACTGAATAGCTGCTTATGTGGCTTCAGATACCATCTTAAATAGCTTAGCTAGGACTAGGGAGGTTGTAGAAAAAGGAGGTCAGTGTTGACTGATATAAACAAGTATACTTCTGTCTTCTCCATTGAAAAGAGGACAGGGCATTTGGTCTTCCTGGTATAGACCTTTACAGAGAAATTCATAAATGACTTGGCGAGAAATCTTCACTCTTTCCCCTGGACTTTAAATTATTCTTCAATCTTTGATTGGGTGCATCCTCCATTTCCAAGGAGAACAGAAAACTGATAGCTGATGTTGCAGAATCTGCTGTCTCTTGTCCCTGAATAAAGTGCTGATCTCATCAAAACCCTGGAGGAATTTGCATGATACTTAGCTTGCTCATGGGCTTTCATTTATTATTAATTATTCTTCCATTAGAAAATTTCCATCAAGAAATAAAAGTCTCATATTCTTGAGGGTTTTGTATATTCAGTATTATTCCCCTGAGAATATTGGAAATCAATGGTCTTGAATAAGAAAAAGGGCCCATAAGTTAGAGTCTCACCCAGCTTTTTCTACTGCATCAGGGATATGCTGCCTCTGACATTCCAGAACTATTGTGTCATCTTTCCTTGTTTTGACAATTTTTATGTTATGTAGCTAAGGAAATCATAAGATACTTTTTTCCAGCATGGGGCTTACATTAACCTTGATTCATGAAGACTAGTTAGCAACCTCCTCTATTCCTTGAAAATTCAAGAATTCTGTTTCAAAAAGCATATCTGTATGATAAAAAATTTATGCATCCCCACATGGCGCGGCAGACTTCTCCTACCACCTGCTGCTCCCCTTGGTCATGTACTTGTCAGTCGGCCTGTTCTGCTCCCCACTCTGTCCCTGGTGAATCCTCTCACTGCCCCAGCACCTCTGGCCTGTACCCCAGCTCTGTATGCATAAATAAATAAATCTTAAAAAAAAATCAATGATCCCTTAGAGGGCAGGTGCTGTCTTCATACTATTAGTATCTTCTGGAAAGGAGTCTAGACCCAATTTTTGTGACAGCTGCTACCTGGCTCGTGTTTATATAATTTTTCCTTTATTCTATTAATGTGCTATATCATATTTTTCCTTTACTGTGTTATATCTTATATCACATTTCTTTATTTTCATATTTTGATCTATCCTTACATCCCAAGGATAAATTGAACTTGCCACATAAAACTACTAATTGTACTTTTGAATTTGTTTTGCTAATATTTTGTTGATCAAGGATATTGTCCTATAACTTTCTAATCTCTCAGTGTCTCTGTCTGACTTGCATATAAGAGTAATACTGACCTTATACAATGAGTTTGGAAGTGTTTCTTCCTCTTCAATTTTTTGGGGAAGAGTTTGAGAAGGTGCAGGATGAGGTTTATAACTCAATATGCCGACCCCTTACTTGGGTCTGTTGCTTATCATTACAATTACAGTATATTACAGCCCACATTATAATAATGTAAGCATATAATTCAATTGGCATTAAATGGGGAAAGGTTTATGAACACTAAGCTTAGGTCAGGAACTAGTGAGAGCAGAGGCATTTGGGGTCCAGCACTGTTTGTAGGGGGAGGGAGTGCTGCTTCTCTGGGAGAGCCTCAGGCAGCAGACCCAACTGCTGAAGTGGGCTTTGGAAACCCCACAGGTCTGGTGTCCAAAGCAGCTCAGATTGGCTTATTTCAGCACTTACATTTGTACTGCTCCATGGAAGTGTTACCAGACCCACCCATTAGTTGTTGGGCTTGGACTCTAGGAATATCCAGGCTTTTATCTGTCCTTGCCTCATGTGTCTATTGATCAATGTCTTCATAAACAAGAGGTTGCTCTCATTTTCAATTGTTACTACATTTCAATTACACCCCTTTTCTGATCAGTCAGGATCATTAAAATATCAATACATATAACAAGGCCTCATATTAATTCTTAAGTGTGTAGTTAAATTCACCTATGAAACATCTGGTCTGGGGTTTTTATTGACTGGGAAAAGTTTGATTACTAATGCAATCCTCTTGCTCATTATCAGTCTGTTCAGATTTTCTATACTTCAATCTTAGTGAGATGTGTGTTTTAGGAATTCATCTGTTTCTCCTGAAGTTTCTAATTTTTGGAAGAAAACTGTTCTGAATAGTCTCTTGTGATTCATGACTCAAAAGTAGGATAGAGGGTGGTTAGCACTTTACATAATTACATAATCTCTGTGTTGCAATCTTTAATCTTAAAAAATGCATTGAAGTAATATTGATTTGTAACATGTAGTTTCAGATATACATTATGAGAAGTCACCAGCTTGTGGACCAAAATATTTTAAGAAAAGAGAATTCTACTTTTTGCTCTGCATTTCAAGTTGGTGTCTCCTCCAACAGCAGGGGACAATGGCTTTGTTTGTATGAAGAAATCCGGTGGCAAGAAGTGAAGAGAAATCTGGAAAGTACATCTCTGTCATGCTTATGAGATGCTGGAAGGACTCAGTGTCCTGGTCGTACCCTCTAGAAGAGTCCTTTCAGGATAAAAGATTCAAATAACCATAGGTCTTTCCATCTTCCCAACCACAATGAACTCTGTCTGACTGAGTTAACTTTATAAGATCAAGGGATCTGATCTTTATCAATTAACTAAGAATTCTAGAAACCAAACTCCTTGAGTGCTGGAAATTAACTATATACCATCTTTTCTTTGTTAAAAGACAATTTTTTTTAACTATTATAAAAAATTTTTTTTGCACTATTCCATGTGCCTACCTTATATAAGCACAGGCCAAACCACTGATGGTGGACAAGTAGCTCAGAAAAAATTTGAAGATATAAAATTTTTTTTTCAGTGTCAATCTTTATTTATTTATTTATTTTATTACAAAGTTTATTTTTACATCATTTTG